GCTATTTTTTGGTTGCAGCCATCATTGTTGTTTGGCGGGTCCGGGCTGGGGATTCGAACCCGCTACCTTAGGTGTAGGTGGCTGGCGCCTTAGCCGGTTGAGCTATAGTCGCCGAGCCTGATGAAAATATTTCAAATGGTATATAAAACCAGCACATTGTACCCCATGACTGCATTAATGTACACAGCTATGATTTAATTTAAAAAGAATGCCACATAAGAACTCCAGGGAAGACAGACACTAAGAGAGGAGGAAGAGGCCTGAACAACAAGGCTGAGAAGGAAAAGTCAGAGAGGGGAGAGACACCAGGAGAGGCGAGTGTCCAGAACACTCACAGACAGAGCTTCCAGGAGGGGTGGTCAGAGGTATCCGATGCCACATGGGAGATGGGGGAAGACGTGAAGAAGGCAGCGAGCCCATTCATTCTGACAATGAAGAGGTCACCAGGGACATTGGTAGGAGCTGTATCAGGGAAGGGCTGGGGCAATCTGGGACAGCCTGAGTGAAAACAAGGACAGGAAGGACAGAAATAAAGGCTAGGAAAGGGGTGGGGGGGGCACAGGCAAACTCTTCCAGAAGAAACAGAGGGTAGCAGCTAGAGAGGGGTATGCGTCAAGACAAGAGCAGATCTGGGCTGTTTTACAGATGAGAGAGCATGGACCATGGTTATTTTTAGAAGACAAAAAGCCCATAGAAGGAAGACTGAGGAAAGAAAGATGATGGATGGGGGGTGGGAATGGGACCCAGCGGGCAGTGGCCTGGGCTAACAGAGAGGACATTCTGTGGATGCAGAATGCAAGGAGACCGGAACCAGAGGGAGTCCTCCAATGACTGTGAGGCGCAGGGCTTGGGCAATGGGGAGGTTTGGTATGGGAGTTACATTGGGGGGAAAGGGGACAGTTTGAAATAGTCGCTAAGAAGAATGGGAGACAAAACTAACTTTTGGTATGACATCGTTCATTCATTTAGCAAATATTCAAGGGTGTTTTTTCTGTGCGTGGCACCATGCTAACAATGGAGCTTAAACAAGACACAGCGCCTAAATCAAAGGGCTTAAAATCTAGCATGTTCCCATTTACTTATTTGTTTATAGTGCATTTATTAAAATTTCAGATTAATATGAGGGTACAGATGGTTAGGTTACATTGTTTGCATTTATTAGGTAAATTCCAAGTGGTGTTTGTGCCCCTCACCCAGGAGGTGTGCCATAGACCCCTATATTGTGCCTGCTAAGTGAGACAACATCAATTCTCCTCCCCTCTCCCTACTTGAGTTTAATTGGGCTTTTCTCTTGTGTGGGTGTATTTGTTGGTCTAATGGTTTCATATCAGCATTGAGTACATTGGATACTTGCTTTTTTATTCTTGTGATATGTTACTAAGTAAAATGCTCTCCAAGTCTATCCAAATTAATCCAAAAGACGTATAGTCGGCTTGGCGCTTGTGGCTCAAGTGGCTAAGGCGCCAGCCACATACACCTGAGCTGGTGGGTTCGAATCCAGCTGGGGCCCTCCAAACAACAATGATGGCTGCAAGCAAAAAAA